GGGGGGGGGGGGACCAGCTGCCCGGGAAGCGCCCATTACGAGATAGAGCCAGAGATAAGTGCTCTCACAGGCCCCTTTTCAGAGGCATAATTAGCACACTTCTTATCTGCTGCTCAATTCACATTCACACCCGCCTGCCTGCCGTGAATGGAACGTGAAAGAGAGGCAGAAAAACCGGGGGAACGGCGGAGGTAGGGTAGAAGGACGAGTCGGGGAGACTGGGAGGGAGGTGGAGAAGACACGCTGGAAACCAGTTCCCAGACAAACCATCGTTTGAGAAAAGAGATAGACATGAGCGAGTTAATACTGCGGCTGCCTTGTACCAACCCCCCCACCATCCCTCCTCCTTTCTCTTTCTCCATCCAACCAAGGAGTCTTTGAACTCCTTAACAAAAACAGTGGTTTGTGCATCAAACTGCAATTTGGTAAAACAAAGCTATCTGAGGGTATAATCATCCTAATCAGCAAGAAAAAAATAAAGCCTTTGCAGATATTTCGAGATTATTCCGCCCTTGGTGATCTATTTCTCCCCCCCCCCATCTTCATCATCAAGCACAATTGTGGAAATCTTTTCAAATCTGCCTGCGACAGACGCACGAAAACCTTTAATGGTAAGTCCTCGGTGCTGCGTTAGGATTGTTTTTAATAAAGCCTTAAACTGGTGGTATGTTTTTCTCCTTTATTTGCCTGTTTCCAACACACACAGGCTGGTATTGTGTGAGAAGATGACGGGGGCCCCTCGTCGTTAATATAAACAGGTTTGTTTGTGGTTGAAACAGCGTCGGCCGCTAAAATCCAGACCCACAAGAACCAGGACGTGAGACTGGGAGTCGATTCCGCGTTCGGGGAAGTTTCTCTCTGCGTTTAACAAACCTCCGCTTCTATTTTGTGCATTTTCGTAAGATTTAGCCCAAAAACTGGAGAAGTTGGAGCGTCTTTAATCGCGCTTTTGTGCGTAACTGTGTGTTGTGGGTGTCTACCGGCGGCTAACCGAAAGCGCCTCGGGTAAAGGATTAGCTTATTTGGACACAAACAGAACGGTCTCAAAGCTAAAAGATCCGTATTGAGACGCTTTAAATTCAAAGACGAGCTTGTTTGTAGGCGTCCCCGTGTGTGGACAAAACATGTGTGCGAGTTGGGAACTCCTGGATGGATCAGACGAGTAACTTTCCAACTTTATATCACGGCATAAGACTAAAAAAATTAACACTTTTAGCTTATTACGCTGATACATATGAAAAAAATTAGTGTTCGTTAAAGCGTTTTTACCAAATGGACCAGAAGAAGCTCACTTCAAGCAAACGTGTCCCTTTGTTTTGTTGTATCGTGTGAAGTGGGTAATGAGTGTGCTCTGTACCTGGCTCTTGGAGGCTGCCACCTTTGCGAACAGGGCCTGAGACACTTTGGCCCTCTTCATCTCCTGCTGGATCTCGTCGTAAATGGTGGAGTTGATGTTGAGGATGCAGCTCTCCGTCTTGCCGTTCCACTCGCTGGGCAGAGGTGACGGCTTGACCTGTTAAATTAAGAGAAAACGACCAAAGTTCAACGCAAAAATCTAAACACAACCTGTTATTTCTGTGATATTAATGAGGATATAATTCATAACGTATTGGAAAAAGCTGGTTTCTTAGGGATTTTTCATATTTATCCAGTTTTTTTGGCAGCAAAATCAGCAAAAACATGATTTAAATACAGAAATGTAGATTTTTTAGTGTTTCCATAGCTTTGTCCTTTCAGAGATAAACTGTCTGAACACGGTTCATAGTGCATATTGTCTCAGAGTGCGGTGTTTGTGTTGGTTGAACTGGACTGGAGTGGGTGAGGTGGTTCGCTCACAGGTGAGATGCCCACGGGGATCCGGGGGTTCCAGTCCTCGGGCCTCACGCTGTTACAGTCTTCCCTCCGCGGCTGAAAAAGTGGAGAACACAACACAGCCATGTTTGCTCAGGAACGAAAACGAAGGGAATCTGTCTCCGCCGGCGCGCACACACACGCTCACGCATGCTCCTACTTCACACACGCTGGAGTGTCGATTACACCCACACGCAGAACCAGACTGTTACTTTGCTCAAAAACACTTAGATGTGTTGTATGAATGTGATTATTCTTATGTCAAGCCGGTGATTAAAAAGCAAATGCAAGTCAAGTGAAATCAAATCATTTTTAATCAGAGGCTTGTTGCATCTCTGCAAAAATCCTTTGACAAGGTAACAAGCATCCTAATAAAAGCATTACCCAAGAACCATTAGCATATGAATCATTCCATACGAGGCTCTTTGAAAGGAGACATCCACGGGGTTGGGTACGAGTGCAAGTGAATGGCATTCAAATAAACCGTAATAACACCAACAGCCACCGACTCCTGCCAAATAAAGGAGCGGGAGAAAAAACATATACATCCAAGCGCCGGTCTAGACGCCCAGTACGAGTTTGATGTGCTGCAAACAAATCACGTGATCCTAAAATTTGCGGTGAAACTGGAATGTCTGAAGGCATCTTTGGGGCCTTTCATCGGGTTTTTATGACAGCGCGGCGTGGGCACGTCGGTCTGAGCCCGACGATGCCATGTCGAGCAAATTGTTAAGGCCGGGACGTGCACTAACTGGCTTTGGGGAGCCGCGGCGGCCCCATCAGCACACATGAGAGAAAACATACCTCCGCATCTGTTTTTACGAGGCCAATAAAAACCCTCCTCTGTCTCTGGCTCAATTGCCACCCTGGCTGATTTATGTGTGTAAATTCACACCGCATTGCTCCATAGGAGAGGCTGGCAGATGGCCATGGGTATGCAGCGTGTGTGTGTGTGTGTGTGTGTGTGTGTGTGTGTGTGTCTGTGTGTGGGAGCAGGTCTACATGATAAATGTCAGTGAGTTTAAGTCTTACGGGTGAAGTATATCGGGGGCCTGGAGCTATTGTGGAGCTGTACCTACAGCACAGAACAACGACCAGGAATACAAATGTTTTCAAAAAACACGCGCCGGGCGTCTTTGAACTTCTGGAGTCTCTCAGTCTTCCTCTTTTACTTTTAACCCCTGCTTTTCTACGGGTGTCACGCAGCGTGTTTTTACAGCTCAGGAAAGCTGTTAGATTTTTATCTGACGCTTCCTGAAAATACCCTGAAAGGACAGAGTCCTTCACCGGGCCTGGGTGAAAACATTAGCAGCGGGTTATTCGGCTAATCTCTTTGGCTTTTTCTCCCTCTTTCTCTTTAAGCCTTTGTGCCCCGGCCCGTAATAAAGGCGAGCTGTGAACTCCTTAAGTGGCCCTGCTTATGTTCAAGCGCCGCTGCCTCAGAATATGAGTCTTTCTAACTTCCTACGGGCTGAAACGGCCAGCCTGCCGAGCCCTTTTCGGGAGGAGGAGGAGGAGGGGGGGG